CCTAATTTAGTGTGAGACTAGAGGGAAGGCAGCTAGTCATCATCACCCACCGCCAACTCTTGGGCTACTCTTTTACCAACAGAAAACTTTCTACTGTTTAAATAAAGTTTATGTTCGTTTTAGACAAAGAACCAGAACTCAGCAAAAACTTAGGTGTTAGAACTATGTAGTTTAAACTTCAGGCGGAAGCACATGAAGGTGTTTGGCAAAACACTACAAATATCTTAGCAGACGCACTTAAAATAGAACATAGCCTTACCTTACTTTTGGAAAATAAATCATTCACAAAACCTGTATTTAAGTTATAAGAACTGTATCGACTAATATTTATCTTTATGTACAAGCTATTGCCGATACTTTGTTTGTTTGTTTGAAGTTAAGCTCAAATCTACACATTGGGCTATCTGTGCTCTGCCCACAAAGCACAGTGAATATGAATCATCTTGGAGCACCAGGACCATTCAGAAAGATACCTGCAATAAAGTTGTACCCCAATCGAGCGGCATCTTGTAACAGACGAGATTTCAAATAACACAAATGCCAGTGGAAAAAGCCATCCTCACAACATAATCAAAAAGGATCTCTGTCTGGAAAAATGACACAAGTCTCATATACACAAGTTACTTCCACGACATGTCTGTTCAATCGTTGCATACCTCAAGCAGCTGGAGAATGAAAAGAGTAAACAATCTAGTGAAGTCGCTGTATATTTCTATACGATCGCGATATTGAAGCATCTGTTGGAAAACTATCGTCCTCGCACCCAAGATGACTTATAGATAGCAACAGGTAGGAGGGGTGTGCTTTGAACATGAAAGGCATACGAGGACACTGGTCTGTCTGATTGTTACCTTTCCATCTTTTCGTATTACATAATAACATTTTATTGTTATCTAAAACTAAATTTAAACACTGTTTCACTGCAAAATCTAAACAAACTCAATGCCCTTTAAACAAAAATTCCCTTACATACTTTATCAGATCACTAACTATGAAATGTTTCTATGTACATATATTTTACTTTTTAAGACTTCTTCGCATACATAAACAAACAACTAGTTTAATATGTAATGAAGTTTGTTGATATCAGTCTGACCTATGTATATTGGTGTCTTTGTAATATAATTCACTACGTTAACTGAGACCTTTTGGTTCGCTGTTAGTATCTCTTTCCACATTTCTCTTGTAAGTAAAATGTACACGTGTCCGTATGTTGTTTTTGTAACGATACATCAATTTGAAGTAACCAGTAAAATAATACCTAATGATTTCAATCCAGCACTAGGTACGTCTTTGTTTAACAATTATGTAAAAAAATAAACAACAACAACATTGTTCATAATATTAAATGTTTTATGCTTTGTTAAATATATATATGTCCCCCTCCCCAGCTTGCTATGTATTGTACAAAAGCTTCAAGCTAAACCACTTCAGTTTCTTGTTTTTTAGCACTTTTTTTGACAAAGGTTCAGTTAAAACTTTGTTCAATTATGTAAATAGAGCCGCGAGAAAGATTAACTTTAGTGATTTCGATTGTAAGTGGAATAGAATAATCCACAGTCTATAGAGACCCCTCGCGGTAAGCCCGATTATCTCTAGGTTGTTTGTTTCCTAACAAGTCATCCGAATGTAAGCACAATTCTTCCCACGGACAAATTCTACGTTATTTCGTGGGATCAACTGCGCGAGCCGACAATTCGCATACACTAGGATAACTTTGTATTACAGCTACGTGCGAGTCATAATATTCGAACAGAAGTACAGACAAATTCTTGGAGTCAAGCTAAATATTTACAAATAAAAATGTGCTTCTATGTTAGAATATAGAGTATTCCCACCTGAAATAAGTTTCATACGTTATTGTAGCTTGGGCTGGCTTTTCACACCGAATAGTAAAGTCAGAATAAGAAGTTAACGTTATGCTAAGCTTTAGTGTTACGTTTTTGTGACATTTGAATGACTTATTTTTCAAAAGCGGTATGCTTGTGTTTAAATATTTTCAGATTAAGCGATTAAACTTGACTGTATGTTTTTAATTCATAACGCTGAAAGTTTTAAACATATCAGTTTCTTTACCAACGCTTAACTGTGAGACTTTGGTATCTTCGTTTACTGTTATCTAAGTCACAGAAGAAACAAGCGTTGCGCTCAAGTCATATATATATATACGTGATTACAAACTCAACCCGTTAAGGTCCTGGATCTGGTTTAACCAAACCTTTAAGCTTTGTGAGCTACGTGCTTAGAGTCTAAGTTGGTATCGGTCATAGCTTAGTGATAATACTACAATACATTTTTCCTAAGCTAAGTTGGTTTCGGTCATAGCTTAGTGATAATACTATAATACATTTTTCCTAAGCTAAGTTGGTATCGGTCATAGCTTAGTGATAATGCTACAATACATATTTCCTAAGGCTAAATTGGTATTGGTTATAGTTTATTGATAATGTTACAATACATTTTTCTTAAGCTAAGTTGGTATAGGTCATAGTTTATTGATAATGCTACAATAAATTTTTCCTAAGGCTAAATTGGTATTGGTTATAGTTTATTGATAATGCTACAATACATTTTTCCTAAGCTAAGTTGGTATAGGTCATAGTTTAGTGATAATGCTACAATACATTTTTCCTAAGGCTAAATTGGTATTGATTATAGTTTAGTGATAATGCTACAATACATTTTTCCTAAGACTAGGTTGGTATAGGTCATAGTTTATTGATAATACTACAATACATTTCCCCTAAGGCTAAGTTGGTATAGGTCATAGTTTAGTGATAATACTATAATACATTTTTCCTAAGGCAAAGTTGGTATTGGTCATAGCTTATTGATAATACTAAATTTCCCCAAAGACTAAGTTGGTATAGGTCATAGTTTATTGATAATACTACAATACATTTCCCCAAAGGCTAATAACCAGACCTACTTGGTAATCCTGAGCGCGATGTTTGATAACCAGACCTACTTGCTAATCTTGAGCGCAATGTTTGATAACCAGGCTTACTTGATAATCGATATAAATGGCGTTTTGATTAAGACGTTAAACATCGTAACGTTTGGGAGCTCTGGTGTTGAGCTAAATAAAACAGACGCCGATGCTGGAGGCTGAGTTTCCGAAAATTTTGTTGTAGAGTTTTTACAATTTCTGATATGTATATAGTTTTTTACCTCCTGTAATCAACTTTTTAGCCAATCATGTATGACTATATTTTGAAGCCAAATATAAATCATTCCTTGTGTGTGTGTGTGTGTACTCGCTTGTAAGTACATTAAATAATATTTTCCACAATATCTATATTTTCCGAAGCTCATAAGTCGATTTGTGTATGATAATCATAAATAAAACTCTGAAAAAGCTATATTGACGGATTACATGTTTGCTATTATGTTATATCTTATAAGTTGTTTTGTTTCCATTGGGAGAAATTGGGGTGTTTTCAGCATCAGTTGGGATGAGAAGCCTATCTTTAACTTTATAGCATCAGAAAAAAAGTGTTGAAGTTATGCGTGTATGTATACTTCTCTTCATTTTATCCTGACTTTGTGAAGAGGTTCTTAAAAACAAGTAATGTAGTAGCTGAGTGGAATATGTTAGAGCTTATCATTACATAAGAAAGGTTAAAAATTTCTATTGGTAATTAACATTCTATTTTTCTATAAAAGCCTTTTAGGGCTCAGTGGAAGTCTGGTAG